TTTTGTCCCAGTCCAGTCCTGCTTGTTCATCAAAATCAATCACTGAAAGAAAAAAGGTCATTGCTACTCCCCTCCAGTTGGAGGCGCTGTGGGACCAACAAACAGCGGTGGTTTTCAATGGAACGAGAGGACAGAGAGACCGTGTTTGACGCTTTTATAAGCTGTAAAAACGTGATGTGTGAGTGTGTGTGCTGTGTGTATATTTCTGTGGAGCGGAGAAAGAGTGTAAAAAGACTGGGTCCCGCTGTATTACTCAGGCTGCACTACAGCGTCTATTCACAGGCGCGATCCCACTACTGAGCGGCACGGGGGCTTTGACCTGCTCCGTTTCCGACCTGGGCCGGTGCACCCCTCCTTAGGCGACCTGGTGGTCCCGAGCTCCCCCAGGAGCACCATATCGATGCCGAACTTAGTGCGGACACCCGATCGGCATAGTCCGCTGCAGCTCAGAGCTCCTGAGCTCAAACGATCCGCCAGCCTCAGCCTCCCGGTAGCTTGGATTACAGGCGCGCGCCACCGCACCCGGCGAGGAGCAGAAGTGCTCCTCGGGCTTTTATCTTTGACAAAAGTGACGTCACGAATAACACAGCGACATCAAGCGGTGAAAACCGGGTACTGTTATAAAAGCTCTGCACACCGTTTCCTTTGGTCCTCTTTAGGAACTGTGGAGGAACATTAGTAAGTCGTTCCCTGAAAAAACAAAAAGTTCCTTGGATAGCCAATTAGAAGGGTTCATTGAATGTGAAAGACTCCAGGAAATATTATTTCTTTTTTCTTTCTAAATTTCCAGCACTAATAAAACCCCATTGTTTATTCCATGTATCTATGTACATTATCTATGTACTCTGTAATAGGCCAATAAATCATAGTAATTTAGCCGTTTATTACTTGGTATTGACATAACTTTTTCCATATAATGTAACCCTCTTTATAAGGCAGAATAAGCTCAAGCCTAGCCTATGAACTGGAAACTGGACTGATTATTTAACACATATTGATAACTTGGATTAACTCACCAGTAAATATGACAGCATTCGGAAACTTTTTTTTTAATTGTTTAGATTTTAATATATTTCCACTTCTTTGCTTACAGTCTGCTACATGAATAATAGTCAGTGATACAAATAAAAGAAGGTCACTTGCATTACAAGCATTGGGTTGTCATGCCATCATTTTATTTATGATGAAATGTCTCATAAATACACTCACCAGTCACTCAGTAATGAAATATCATCACCTAATCACATGGCAGAATCTCAGTATTTAGGCATATAGATTTACTTGCTGACTGGAGCTGATAGGAAAGCAACACTAACTCAAATAATAACTCATCACAACCAAGGTTTGCAGAAGAACATCCATGAATGCACATTATGTCAAACCTTGAACCAGATGGGCTACAGCAGCAGAAGACCACACCAGGTCCCACTCCTGTCAGCCAAGAACAAGAAACTAAGACACTGCAAAATCTGCCAGATTTGGACAACAAGGGCTTGGAAAAACGTTGCTTGGTCTAATGAGTTGATTTCTGCTAAGACGTTTGAATTGCAGGGTTAGAATTTGGTGTAAACAACATGAAAGCATGGGCGGATTGTGGAAGAGACTGTGTCAGCAAGTTCCCTTAAAAGGTTTGTGCTCAAAGCTAAATCTGTGTTACAGAAACTCAGCCTTTGTGTTTTTACATTATAGGAACAAAAAAATTCTATAGCCTGCTATTTTTAGTAGCTACTTTTATAGGTAATCTTAATTTTTTGTTATTATTATTGTTTATTTTAGTTGCGATATTTAACTATATTTATATTAGCTATATTAGCTTTAAAGATTTGAAACCCTGTGTTCACTTCATATGCTTTGCTACTGAACATTTAAAATATATTTCTTCTGACCGTGCAGTTAAAACAAACTAAACAATAAGTGATTTCATATCTTTACAAAATAACATATTATATTTAGCTATAGACCACATGTTGTGACTTCCTGCCTGTAGGCTTCATATAAGTCTATTGGGCGGTGAGATGGAAATTGTCTCACTCAAATGCCGCCAGATCAAAAAGTATACATCTGGTAGACATTGAGGAAGACATTGTTAGAAAAAAGACACATTTTTATATGATTCGGTGGTAAAATGATGGCTGAAGTAACATTTTTCTGGCTCTCTTTTTCTGGTGGTTAATTGGTCCTCTATAGCCCTCCCATTCTCCTGAATGAGGAGCTATTAGTGAGGACACATTAAATAATCCAAACATGACAGAAGAAAATGAGGAAGCAATTTGGTGCCAGAATGGTGTCTCTACAACAAACTGTAGGGAAGGTACACACCACGGAAGAAAAATAATATTAATAATAAAGAATTTAGCCAAACGTAACATATACCTGACAGTTAGCTTTGCAACAGTCCCACCAATTAGTAGGCAAGAGTAAACACAGTGAACAGTTACTGATGTCACAGCTGCACAACAACTAAACATACTCTATAAAAGCTGGCATTACAATAAAATGGTCCCAAGTCTAGCAACACTTAGACAACATGAAAGTTTTAAGATATTCAGATTTCATAATTTCGGAATTTCCGCAGCAGATTCGATGGAGAGTCACCAGCCCAGCGGAAGCGTCGATGGCAGAAATCACCTGCAGCAATGATAAGAAAAAGTCAACACACTTCCCTTTATGCAGTTCAGAACTTTTTAAACAGCTGCTGTTTACTCTAGAAGAAATTCACACGAGGAACAGTTCAGATCCTTCACTGAGTACTCAAGCCTGTTGTGTACTTGGCTTGAGTATCCGGTAAGCTGTACTGATGCTCGTGGAGGAAAGTCTTTAATCATAGCTGTGTTTCAGCTATAGTAATACTGACTTGCAAGTGTTTATCTCAGAGGTTATAGGAAAAGGAATCCACAGCGAGCTTCTGTAGAATCTCAGGAAAACTGAATCAGTCCTCAGGGCTACAGGAAAAGTGTCAGCCCTGAACACTGGAGCTAAAAACTAGCTAAGAGGAAAGTGGTAGCTTTGAAGTGCAAAATGCAAAACCTCACAAAACACTGGGTGGGCGTGCAGCCCCTCTTTAATATGAGCACTAAAGAGCTCCTACTTTTATATTCCATGAGCTTAATATAAGAGCAGAGAAGCTCTTGAGCAGCTGCTCTGAATATCCATTGCCTCTCTGCAGTGAAATTAGATCGAAAATACACCAAATCATGTCTATCATACTGGTATCAATTAAACTTTTCTCACGTCTGACTTTCAAAAATAAGGATCCTATGGCTCTGACCACTTCCTTACTAGTATTTTGTGTGTTGTTATGTATTGCTCTCCAGCAACACCTTACTTTAAATAATTGGAATAAATTTCAGTTACCCGAGTATGTCGTGCTTTCACACGAAGATTTCCCCATTTCCTGCTGCTCACAGTGAAAGCTCTCTGCTTGTGACGTGATGGGGTCTTCTGGTTTGGAGGCCTCCAACATTGGTTCCTTCTTATTTCTCACAGCCCAGTGCATTGACTGTAAACAAATTAGCAGGCTTTTTAAGTGTCAATGATTGCACAGTGTTTTTAAGAATCTAAAGAGAAGACATTACAGTTTTCACTGAGTCGTTCAAGGCCTGCCAGTCATGGAATGGGATCGTAACTCCGCTTCTTTTCCAAAGATCATAGTTTTTCCTTTTGGTTTCATCGCATAAAACCTCTTTGGCTTCCTGCAGCTTCTGGAAATCTGCCACTTTCACAACAGAAAAAAAATGGTTTTAATATAAAATTAAAAATTTAATAAAACAATTTACTGTATACAGCTGTAAGAATCCGCTCTATTAGCATTATTTGCTTTGAAGTTAAGACATCAGAAACAGACATTAACTATGTAAGAAAAGTGTGAATGAAGAGGTAATGAAGGGGTAATAGCACACTTTGTAATACTTTATTGCTTTGGATTATGAAAAAAAGGTTATATGAAATATGACTCACACACAGTTAGTGGTGTGTGTGTGTATTACCTGCTCTTGGGCTGTCGAGGTGTTTGTCTGGATGACATGCCAAGGCTCGAATCTTGTATTCATTGAGAATCTGTTCAGTCTGCAGGAGAACAAAACAAAACAAACCTCATAGTCTGATGTGATCTAATCAATCAGATCGATGTTATCTTGACCGTGTTATTGACTATTTGAGACCCTCAGCTCTGCCAGTCTATGAGTGTTGCTGATTGTTGAGTAATATATTGAGTGAAAACTGGCGATCACAAGACCACGGTGGATATGTGTGTTGATGTTGATAATCAAAGATTTGTTTTAGTAAGATACATTAAAAAAATCACACGGATTGCATATCTAATCTAGATATACACAAATGAATTTAAATGCTGGCTGGCAGACAGTGGATGACGCACGACTAGTTTCACATCAACAGGTCTTTGTTGGTTCAGCCTAATCTGAGGCACACATACATTTTTATTTTCACATTTTTTGACTCAGCAGCGTACAGGCTATTGACCTAAATAATTACTGACTTATAGATCGAGACTATATCCGTTCAGCAATCCAGGAAATAGTCTGAGCCTTAAACCCACTGACGAGAACTTACCGATGACAGTTCATCACATCCCAGTAACCCGTAGTAATCCTCCAAATCCTCAGGTTTACAGCTCAAAACAGCCTCCATAAAAATCTGTCGGAGAAGCACGTATGGCTTCTTTTAACGGACCACAAATGCTGCTGAACGTGATCACAGCTGATCAGTTAAAGGGTTGCCAACCCCTCTCACTCACTTACTATAACCAACTAGCTAACTACTAACTGTTAGCAAAGTTTGTCTTAGTATGGTTTTGTCCGCTAACGTTAGATTTCAGGGATTATTAAACTGTTAAAATTGTCAAGGGAGATCTCTCCCGAGTTGTTGGGAGAGCCCAGCTGCCCCTTTTTACCGTATGACGTACGATGCATTCAAGGGTCTTGATAATGGTCCTGCTTACTAGAAAATTCATTTATTCATCTGGCTAAGAAACAAAGGCAATGGTAGCTTTAGGAAATTAAAAATGTTATATTTTGATGTAGTAAAACTAAATTTCTTTCACATACTTAAGGCTTGTGTGGCAACGAAAAAAGAAAATGATAGATTTGTAACTGGGGCATTAATTAAGCTTTCAACGGCTGCACGTCAATATACAATCGTTAATATTTACGCGAAACACATCACCGAAAGGCTTGAAAGATTCGTGAGGGCTAACCTATGATTAGAAATCATCCGACAGCACTTGAAGGCAACAATATTTGTTATGGTATAATGTCAGCGACGTAGAGGGGGGCGTTTCGCTCGGGACTACTGGTGGAGAACGAGTCACGTGTGCTATGCAAATGAGCCAGCTGTCCGAGAGGAAGGCTCCTGCTCAGCGGCTCTGCGGGCTGAAGATGGCGGACGGAGAGAACAGTCTCAAAACGGCCGTTTCGGGCGCCTCCGATACGGGGGAACCTCCTGTTAAGATTTCGAAAATCAGTCCAGGGACTAACTATGGACTAAAAGCCGTCGAAGCGGACCAGTTCTCGTGTGTCTCCGGGGCAACTGAAAGCTGGGAGGCGGCGTTGAATTGTGCGCAGCCCGCGGAGAAGGAAGCGAAGCCGGTGATGGCGGTAGAACAGGCCCCGGCAGCGTTAGGCGGAGACAACAATGGACTGGAAGTATTACTCTCCGACCCTCACAAGCCAGTTGGGAAATTGGACGACACCACTGTCTTTGGCGCAACCGAGGACAGTCCAGGTATACAAAGAGAGAAAAACTTTGAGTATTTAAGTGACTTACAGTGAGAAAAATTGTCTTTGCCAACTTAACCGGTGAGCTAACTGGCTCCATGTGAAACAGTTAACTTTGCTAATGTTAATTACAGTAATGCTGTGTGGGTGTCGAGAACTGTGTACTCCTGAAAACGGGAACTTTTCCACTAAATTATATTTCTCTAAACGGAAGTAGAACTCTATCAGTGATCCTGCCAGCACAAATTTGTCCATTTAACTTTTTCATAACCACGCAAAACTTTGAGAGCAACTTAGCGTTTGTTAGCCGGTTGAAAGTTGACTTTGAGAGACTGCTTTCACCGATTTACCTTTGCAACGGGTCGTAGCAGTTATTAAAGAGAGTCGCGACTTATATCTAGTCTTATTTAGTTAATTTTCTCCATGTCTGTGCTTAGATTTTCTTGGGCACGATGACCTTCCCTCTAACGGTTTGGCTGTCACTCCGGAGCACATCACTGAAGACGATGACAGGTCCTCACATGCAAGCTCCAGCGACTGGACTCCTCAACCGCAAATAGGTAAATAAGATAATCAGATCATTAATAAACTGCAATATCTTAGATTACGCCACTTATAATATGTATTTAATGTGTATGTATTTATTTAAACCACATAATAATTGTTTGCATTGTACAAGTATGTGTGTTTTGGAAATCCAGCCATACTGAGATGTTATGTTCTTGCTCGCAGGTTCCTACAGTTTCATCCAGCAGCACATTAGAGAGACAGATCCAAGGGCCATCCTGAGGGATTTGCTACCCGAGACTGTACTCCCACCAGATTTAGATGACATGACATTATGGCAGATCATCATCAACATCTCAGAGCCTCCAAAAAGAAAGAAGCGGAAAGATATTAATACCTTAGAAGATGTAGTCAGGCTACTACATGAAAGCAAAAGGATACTAGTGCTGACTGGTGCTGGGGTATGCATTTTTTACTTTATCGTGTAGCTCTACTGTGTAAATTTGATTTTCAGTACTAGTGTTCATTGCATTTCCTTATTATTTTTATTTTATTTTGTTGTAGGTTTCAGTTTCATGTGGAATACCAGACTTCCGCTCCAGAGATGGAATTTATGCACGGCTTGCTGTAGATTTTCCAGATCTTCCAGATCCTCAAGCTATGTTTGACATTGAGTACTTCAGACGGGACCCTAGACCGTTTTTTAAGTTTGCTAAGGTTGGTGTTACATGAACAATAGAATAACAATTTGAATGCTCTCTAACAACGAATTAATAATCTTAATCCAAACCATAAATCTCTTCATGTAGACCATTGCAAGGTCTACATGACTAGTGGATTGTGCACTTTCATTCTGTGAAAGGGTGTTGGTCATTTAAAAAGGGAAACTACTTAAATGTAAGCCGCTTCTGAGTTCCTGTTAAATTTTGTAATGTTGTTTAATACGGTGCCCCACACCCCCATGTTTACACCAACTTTTAAATGGAGTATCAGAACCTGTTTTTTAAGTTAACTTAAAACATAACATAATGTTCAGTTAAATTTGACCCATTTTGACATTTGCCAATAGTTAAGAAAAAAAAACCATATATGTCTTTTAGCTTGAAATTGTTTAATTTTCCTAAAGTAACTTAAAATTTTATCACAAGAACTGTTTGTGTTCCCACCAGATTTGATCAGGCCCCTGCAGGGACAGGAAGTTTAAAGGATCGTGGGGAATTCTCCAAACAGTGAAATAGTAAAAGAACACAGGAGTGATCATATAAGATCCATAAAATAACAGAGGCTATACAGAAGTCAGAGGGTCCCTTATCATAGACACAATATCTGTAATAGGGTGGGAAGGTGGTCCATATACAGTAGCATATTGTGGTACAGTGGGTAGCACTGTTGCCTCACAGCAATACTTTTCCTGGTTGAAAAAATTGCTTAAAGTTCAATTGCTGTGTGGGTGTGTCTTGTAAACTTACACAGCATTTAATGTTTTTATCTTCTCTCTTAAGCACATTGTATTTACATATTAATAAATGTGCTACATAAATAAAATTGCAATTAAGTACACTGAATAAAGTACTTTATGTATTAGCTAATAGAGATTAAAACAGATCTCATAAGATGGGTTGGGTCATAACATTACAAAAGGACCTGAGCTGCCATTTCAGTGAGTGTGGGAAACTGATGTGGAAGTCCCACACATGCGAGGTTTCCTAGCACTGCTTTGAATGCACAGACTAGTTTGCAATAAGCATTTTGTGTATATATATTGTGTTCTAAGTCAGTTAATACTGCACTCTGAAAAAGGTTAAAAAAGGTTTTAAAGATTGATCACTCATTTATTATTATCAAATACATTCAAGCCATGCTGTGAAGCATGAAATATAAACAGTTATTAAGTGTTTAAATATGGTCCAGAAAAGCCATGGTGGGGACATATGACTATAGCAATGTTTGCATTTTCTTCACAAGTACTGAATGCACAATTTTATATTACAGGAGATCTACCCTGGGCAGTTTGAACCTTCTCCCTGTCATAGATTTATATCTATGCTAGATAAGCAAAGAAAGCTGCTGCGCAATTATACGCAAAACATTGATACACTGGAACAAGTGGCTGGGGTTCAGCGGATTATCCAGTGTCACGGTGAGTGGTGCATGTGATTGATTCCTCTTTCTTATTTCGTTATTTGTTTTTCTATAGTTCTTCCCCAGTAATTCAATGTCAATTATATTTTAGGGTCATTTGCAACTGCATCCTGTCTCGTCTGTAAGCACAAAGTGGACTGTGAGGCTATAAGGGAAGACATCTTTAACCAGGTATGTGTTCACTGCAATCTAATCCAGGATACCACTTTTTTGCAGACACTGTTGGATGTTGCACCATCACCAAGGCCAATAATGCAGATACAGATTGCATGTAGAAACATCGTGTGAAAAACCTCTTTAATAAGTATAAGGATTTATCTGTATATATTTGCTGTTAGGGGTCTCAAATATCTACGTAATTACTTGTAAACAAGGGAAATGACATGGACATCAAAAGCTGATAATACCCTTTTTAGTTTTACCTGCCAAACAACCCATAACATAGCTGACTGTTTAAAATATTCCAGAAAGATTGCCTTGTTATTGCTGTGAGTGATTGCCCACCCCATAAAATTTGGATGGTGTTTAGTGGCGCTGTAGTAAATAAATAATACATTAAATTCTTCCATCAGGTTGTCCCTCATTGTCCACGGTGTCCAGATATCCCCCTGGCAATCATGAAACCAGACATTGTCTTCTTTGGAGAGAACCTTCCAGAAATGTTTCACAGAGCCATGAAACAGGATAAAGATGAGGTGGATCTCTTGATCGTCATTGGCTCTTCGCTTAAAGTCCGACCGGTTGCCCTCATCCCAAGTATGTTTTATCAAAACTGATTCACTTTTAGTGTCTGTAACATTAAACATACTAACCGATATGTTTCTGTATGCTTTGCATGTCATTCAAACACTGAATATTTGTTTTTCCTCTCTATCCAGACTCCATTCCTCATGAAGTGCCTCAGGTCCTGATCAATCGGGAGCAGCTGCCTCATCTCAACTTTGACGTGGAGCTACTCGGGGACTGTGACGTCATTATCAACGAGCTCTGTCATCGATTGGGTGGAGACTTTGAGCAGCTCTGCTACAACACTGTAAGATTAACTGAGATCACAGAGAAACCCCCTCGGTTACCAGAACAGTCACCAAGTGAGGCCTTGTCTGCTTCGAGTGATACGACTCAGGAGGAGCAGAAGCGGCACACTACAGACTCAGTAAATATGCCTTCGGAGGAGACAGAAAGTCTGAATGTCACAGAGACTGCTGATAATAATGTTACACCTCTAGAGCCTTGTCCAAATGCTCAGTGTCCAACGGAGAGCACTGAATCTCCAGAGAAAGCAGCAGAAGGTGCGCCAAAAGAGGAGGCAGCCGAACGAAAGAGTCAAACCTCCAACCTTGAATTTCGTAGACGTTGCTGGATGAGTCGAGTTAACAGAACTCCAATCAGCAAACGCCTTGAGGGTAAGCTTTAGACCACGGTAAAGCAAGCAAAGCTGCTTTAATGTAACAAATAAATTGATTTTGGATGTGTGACAAAATCGTGCAAAGACATGTTGTGTGTCCCTTTGCTCAGCAGTTTTTTCTCCTTCCATACAACTGTCATAAACAATGAACAGATCCCAGATAGGTGTGCAAAGCTCACTGATCCTCTTTTGTTTTCCACAGCAGGCCAATACCTGTTTCAACCACCAAATCACTATATCTTCCACGGGGCAGAGGTTTATTCTGACTCTGAAGATGAGACGTCGAGCTCCTGTGGGAGTGACAGCGAGGACTCTGAATGCTGTGCTGAAGGGGAGGAAGACGACAGCGAGCCGGAGGATGCCGACGTAGTACCAGCAGTGGATGGAGAAACATGCCTCAAAGACATAGTACAGCACACTGTAGCCACTGAGGCCACGTCAAGTGTGCAGACAGACAATAATTCTGAAAAGACTGAGAGTACCACACACCTTTAAATGTAAATTACCCAGTCAACAAAGCACTAATTGTCTTTTTATAGATATATATAAATATATACATATAAGTTTCATATATTTTTGACTCTTCATCCTTAATATTCAGGGTTTCCTCCAGAAATGTTGTTAGACCCAGTGGACAAAGGAGATTTATTCTGTTTGGTAGCAAATAATCCAGTGTCTTTCTCGCTTTTCAAACCATAAGTAGTTAGTAAATAATAGGCTGTATGAGTGGAAGAGCATTAAATTAGCCGAAAAAGTCTTGGCTGTTAGCTACACAAATCAAAAAGAGTATTAGTTTATCACAGTTCACCTGTTCATTTTTTACTTTCAGGATTCCCTGTTGTAACTCTGAGTGTGTGTATTTGTGGGCTAACAAACTGAACGGCTGTAGCTGCTCTTTCATAGATTGAAAGTAAATGTAAATACATTCAAACATGTTTAGTGTTCAGCGGGCCTCTGGGCTGTCAGTATTCTGGTGGAAACCCTGCTCTCATTTTTCATAAAGTTGAAGTTGTGTGGCAACTTTGTGTGAATATGCAGCAGGTTTTTTTTCCCTCTTCTTTCTTTCTCTGCCCTGTTTGGTCACATGCACATGTGTCTGAAACTACATACTGTATACTACTTACTAAATAGAGTACTGTGTTTTTTTTCTTATGTTTACTTTCCATGTTCTTTTCTGATTTTGCATTCACATTTTCAGAAATTGAATTATTACTTTAATTTAGATTAAGCTTTAATTTCTACATTGCAGTGACTACAGGCAAATGTTCCAAATGTTATTTTCGGTCCATACAACGACATCACCTGCGGTCTAATAATACTTTTTAGAGCTGGTTCATGCTACCATTAGAAACATCAGTTTGTAAGCCAGCAGCTGATAAATGGTGGGTACTATGAGTTTCAGACACATACATAAATCTTCTGATGGTTTACTTGAACGCACTAACTGCAATATAGAAAGTTCAGTTCTGCCTTTTCATAAGGATCATTGGTGGAAAAGTGACAGTACTCTTTAATTTTAGACCAAAGAACACTTTATCAACACTCTCCTTCGTTGTCATAAGCTTTGTATGTTTAATCTGTCATTTAAGATTTGGAAAAAAATATATAACTATCGACAAGGTGTTCCTTCTGACATGTGGCAGCTACTTTTTATGGTCAAGCCTCTTATTTTTATACTCTGATGTGAGACATACTCATCAAAGGGTAGATGATGGTTTTTATCTGTACAAAGGTATACTGAGTTGTAATAATAAGCCTTAGGAATATATTCACATTGAAAATGGCACTTTTTGTCCTCCTTATAAACCTGGTTTTGTTGCCTGTGTCACTTTTCATTGAGAATTAAGGAGTCTTCTGCCTGCAAAGTGTTGGTATATAGACATAATTGAGCCACTGTGTTGGATACATGTCTACACCAACGTAATTCACATGCCATTGACAAGGTAATGTTTTGTTTACGTTTTAAGAAGATACATTTTTACATCATTCTAGTTGTTATTTCTCATGGAGTTCTCAGTAAAAAAAAATATAGGAAAGAAAAGTTTTCTGACCTCTCATTTCTATTATTGCAAACGCATCTGATTGGTGTCAATATCAGACATTAACACAGTGCCACCTGGTGTTTCATCCGGCTAGTTCCTGGGTCACGTGAGCTCTTGAAGTTTGGTGAGACGGTGGGGTCCAATTTCAACATCAAATTTGGTGGGCCGCATCGGGGGCTTGCGCATGCGTATTATGGTATCTAGTTTTAAATGTGTTTTATTAAGCATTTTAGTTGTCACTCGGCTTATCATTAACAATTAGGTGGTTATCACATTGTTTAGCTAGCCGCAGATTCACGTATAGAAAGCTAAGGAACATTCTATAGCCCAAAAACCTCGGAACTACATTTCCCAACATCCTTTCAGCTGCCCTGTAATACGGCGTGTCGTAAAACTTAAAAGGAAAACGGTGATGGACTCCGCCGGAGACGCCTGACAGTTTTTGTCTTCATCTTTAATTGTTGTCTGAAATGTTCATCTAGCGACGCAGTGCTTCGGTTCACCGGACCAGTGAAAATGGAGGCTATGGAAGATGACAGTTTGGACGTAAAAGACGACCATAACCACAACTACCGCGCGAGCGGCAGTAATAAAGTCCGCACGTATCTTAGCAGCCAGCTGTCGGAGATATCGACGGTCCCGCAGCCCGTCTGTGCGACGGTGCCGGTTGGAGAAGCGGGTACTCGACAAGGGAAACTGTGGTCCGGTGCAACTGGCGGGTCAAAGTTCATGGACTCGGATACAGGCAGCGAGAGCAGCGAAGTCAGCGAGACTGACTGCACCGCTCCAGGAGCTGCTTCCGAGGGAAAATTTGCCCTCGACTCCACTTCCAAGTTCCGTAAGTTCACTCGAAGCAGGGCCCGAGAGCTCACGGTCTCACCGCAGCTCGGCCTCCGCTTATGTTAGTAATGTGTGTGAAGAGTGATGCTTTTGGCTTCTGTTCGGTCTGATCTGAAGGCTCAATTCTGCTCCCCTCTCTTCACACAGTTCTGAATGCAATGGCAGTGGAGGACTACCGGAAAAACCACTGGCCAAACCTGGAAAAGGCAGTTGACCGTCTGCTGATTCAGAATCCCACAGACCACATCTCTGTTTCTTATGCACAGATATACAGGTGAGACAGCACAAGTAAAGGGATGTTGAATAAACACCACTCTGAACTAGACACCCCCCCCCCCCCTAGATTATGATTTCTGTTGCCATAAGAAGCGCCATATATATATTACTATGTGATTAACTAAGAATTTTAATATAACCTCAAATGCCTGTCTTTTGTTTTCCTAGTTATGTCTACAAGTGTGTTTGTCAGCAGCACTCTGAGCTGCTCTACAATGATCTGACATCAAAAATAACAGGTCACCTGCAGCAGGTTTCCGCCCATCTACAAGTAAGCAAACCCAAATGCAAGATGTAATCGTACAGCACATGCAGAAACGAAAAAACTAACTCTTTTTGCAATGTTTTGCAGGCTAGCCCACTCGAGAACTTCATTGAAAATTTCAACATTGCACTGACACAATATATAGCTTCTCTTCAGTGTATAGTCCCTGTCTTTATGTACTTGGTAGGTACCACTTATCAGCTTTTCCCCCCTTTTTAATCAAATATTTGGCAAATCCCATGCAGGCAAGTGTAGTTTTGTGTTAGTTTGTTACTTAAATCTATGTTTGCACATGCTTCTCTTTTCAGAACAAGTTCTACATTGAGTCCAAACTGAACCGAGACCTCAGAGAGGATCTGATGAAGCTGTTTGCTGATCACGTCGCAGAAAAACACGTGAACACACTGATGCGTGAGTGTACCGCTTCATCTCATGCGCTTTGCTCTGATTAATCACGATGTGATGCAAAGTCACAAAAAGGGGAAATTAAATAAGTAAAAATCCTCCCTTTGGTCAAGTCAGTTGACACCATCTTGTCCATTGTGCTCGTTCTTTTCAGCTCTGCTCATTAAAGCTCGGTCCATGCCCTTTGAAGTGCAACCCTCAACAATGGCTAGTGTGGTTAAGGGCCTCTACAGCCTCCAACCAGGTGATTTTAGATAAATTATTTATCTCACACTCTCCTCTTATTCACAGATTTTTTTTTTTAATTAATTAATTAATTTTTGATTTTGGTTTCCTCTCTCAGAGTGGGCCCAGCTTGCCCCAGATCTCTTCTCCGGGTTTATCCCCCAGATTAACCCTCCTGCTGTGGAGTCTCTGCTGCAAGACTACGCTGCTCATGACCAGAAACTACAGATGGAGCTCTCCATGAATGGATTCCCACGGTCAGTTTTCCAGAGTCTTGAACATCAAATGAAGACTGAGTCACATCTGCTTTAACTTGGGTCTCGTGCTTGTTTTCCAGAGGTGACCAGTCTCGCAAACGGGCCAGCGAGGACTCGTGATGGCCGGCGTCACTGGATTTGCTGCAGAACTAATACTGTGCCTCTTAAGTCTTTATCACAAGTTGTCTCCCTGGACTAGGTACAACGCTAACAGTGCGTCATCCCTTTTTAACTCGAGGTCACGAAACACTGTGAATAACAAAGACAGCATGATGGGTTGTTGAGCAGAAGGATTAAAAAAAGGAAAAAGTGGCTCACAGACTTCCATTTTGGTGCTTTCCTTCTGATTTCTTCATCTTCTGCTCATCTGAAGAGTGCCTTCACAGTGTCCGTCTGACTGAATATCATGATGAAGCTGACGATCCATTCCTAACCTTTAACATGGAAGTGTCTTGTGTTGTCTTTGATATACGGGGCTAATTAAGACTCTATTGCTGCTGCTAATAATATTGTTTGTGTGTTAATATCATAAATCCCTTGTGTCACCCACATATTGTGTATCTCAGTGGCTACAGTCAACACAAATGAGTGTGGAAAGAAGTGGGAGCTAGGTCACTAAGCTTAGCTATGACTCTCTTCTTCCTGTTGCTTAAAATGTCTTATCATGCTCAGTCATCCAGGTAAGTAATTCCCAAAAAGTTGATTCTGTTCATCTGGATGTAGCGTTTTCAGTGGGAGAAACATTTTCGTCACTTATCCCAAGTGACTTCTTCAGTCTCGGCTGAGTGCAGGTTTCCCCAACCAAAGACCGTGGTTTTTGGTCAGTGGTTGTTGGTCAGTGGTTGTTGGTCAGCTGAGACTGAAGAAGTCACCGATTGACGAAAATGTTTCTCCCACTGAAAACGCTACATCCAGATGAACAGAATCAACTTTTTGGGGTTATTCCTGTTGCCTTTACTGTTTGGGTAAGCCAGGTTGTATTTTCCAGTTTTGCCAAAGAGGATAACTGTTCTTTTGTTTTTTCTTTAAACACAATGTGTTGGGTTCCAGTTTATGTTCTCAATGTTGTATGCTGTCTGAGTCACTGAGCCATTTAATTTTATTCTTTACTAATAAGTTAAAGCTTTGGTTTACCCTCAAGTCATTCTGCCTTTAATGACAACTTGTTTGTTTAAGCCTTGCACGTAGGTGGAGGAGGTTGCCATATACAGGAAGTAACACTGAGTGCCATACAGTTAAAAGGACCACATAATACCATTTGAGGATTTCCTGATTTTATTTTATTTTTTAAATTTTTATTTATTTTATGTAACCTGACCTTGCCTAAATTTCCCCCTAAATAGCCACCTCCATGTTTGTATTCTTGGACCCAACCAGAGTGGCTCTGCATGATTTCCCATCCAAAATAATCCCTGTTTATCTTATACTGAGCCTCAGTGCGCCCACTCAGTTCATGCACCGTCTGAAGCAGGTTGTTTTTGGGCTCGCTTTCTTTTGATTGGCTGCCGCCGCATGAACAAAAGGTTTGAACAGCAAGTAGGAGGGGCTTCAGTCACAGGCCTGCATAGCTGAATGACCATATTAAGGATATCTGCTTAGAGTGACATCATAGAGAGCCGGAAAAAAAATCTGTCTCAAATTAAGTGTTTAAAGCAGTTTGATACCTCAGCCTCGCAGTGGTTACCCATATGTTCACTGCACTCATGATTTGAAACTCTGATGATATTTAGTTTGAGCAGTCACCACTGGAACAGGATAATGGGTCCACTTTAACAAAGCAAATGATATGCAAATGTGGTTTTGTGCCAGAGCACATGCGCTTCATGTTGTAAATAGTTTTTGCCTCTGCATACCGGTATGTGTACACTAGCTTTTGTCACAGGTGCGTTTTTTGTTAAACAAGTCACTCGAATAAATGTGTTTGATACAAGTTCCTACACTGTTTTAAGTGTAATTAGATGCTCAGGCTTGCTTTTTGTTTCTATCTCGCGTTACTTCAAATGAACTAATCACAGGACATGATTTCATTATTCTAGCTTTTACAACTGGGTCCTGTCATCAAGCGGGGTTGTAATACAGCTAATGAAGTCAAGAGGAATCTAAATCATTAGGGATGCTGAACACTGGCTGTACTAGATTACATGTCTCACCTTTTAATTTTACATGATGCAAAATTAATTCATGTTTAAACCCACTGTGAATGGCTCAAATACTGTTTCAGCAATCTGTTTTTTATCTCAAAATCAATAAAATCCTAGAGTCTTAGTATTTGTCACACTAATGACAGACGCTTGCTGTTGTCGTTTCTTTATCTAATGCAAATTCTGTTTGGAAATTGATTTTATCTGCTCATCTGCAGGGTTCACACGAGTGTGTCTGTGTCAGTGTGTGTGTGTGAGTGAGAAAGGTTCGCCAAGGGGCTTCTAATTCTGCAGTACGGAGGTCTGCGATGAACCACAGGAGGAGGAATCCCTACAGCACAGCCCCCCATGACCAATAAGGAGGGACACCACCCAGCCACATGGGCAAGGCCTCCCCCAAAATAACCTGCCACTATTGCACTGACAAATGTTGCTACTTTTACTGGTGACAGGTTACCGTAGCTGCCCGGCTCCACATTTTCCTGTAAACTTCAAGGTTAATTCTCAGCAAGAAAAGCGGGAAGGCCGAGCAGCTGCCGGTGTCTGAGATTTTCCCGGGTGGCAGGAGCCAGAAGACTGGAATCGGCCCCCTTTCAGCACAGGTGCACTCTGAGGATTTACTAGTCCTTCCACAGGGGCCAGCTGGGTTTATTCTGAAGGTAAAAACACACCAGCCCCTAATTTATTTGTTCATGCATCTCGTTGACGTCTGTTGGCATCAGCCTCAGATGCTGTGTGTAGCCTCAGAAACACTGACGCTGAGCCTCAGACAAGCTTTAATCTGTTTCTGTTTGGACCATATGTTCCTGTTTAATTCAATGAGCTTAACCTGTGTGGACTGTTGTGTTTAGTCAAGGGGTCTGTTCATGTGTGTCATCTCACTCAGCAGTGCCACACTTATGATAATTATAGTAGTGTTTGTGTAACTTGATTAATGATCAAACTTATGATAGCAAGAGCCCACAGGTGCATTGCTGCTGCTTTTCTTTTCTTTTTTTTTTCTTTTTGTTGATTTCCCTTCAGTAAACTGACCCCTCGCTATTATTAGATATGACTCGGTAGGCTTGGAGCCTGTTTGCAAAGGATAAATGTACACAACAGCTGCAGCTTCAGGTCTGTTGGAAGGGCATCGCTGTCTCTCCTAATTGCACTGATTTGAGTGTCAGTGGCATATGTGTACCCTATCTCATGTCTGCATTCAATAACTTGCTCATGCATGGTGTCAGAAAGCGCTGCAAAATCTAAACCTCATAAAAATGTTGATCTGAGGTGGACAGGGGGGTAAAAAAGCCTGCCTGTGTCTCTCAGATCTGGTGACAGCACATGAACCTGATACCCTGTCGAGGCTGAATTTAGGCTAAAATAAAAAGCTATTTTTATTACATATCTCTGCTTTTAACCCCGAGCTCTGCATTCATGTTCTGACTGCGTGCCAAATATTTCACAAGGGATTGTTCAAACAAAACTGCAGTAGCGAGAGTTATAGCTCAGATACTTATCACTGTATAGTTTTTACTGACTCCTTAACACACGACGCAGACAGAAAGCATTGAAACAAGACGTCAGCTTTAAATTGATTTAACGCACTTCTGAACATAAAGATATGATAAACCTGTCAGAGACCTAAAGAACCATGAATGATTTGTCAGATTTACTGTTTACTCGCTGGGAATCCAGTTAGTTTCTTGATAAACTGTTAACTCAGTGTCATTAATTAGTGGAAATAGAAAATTCAATAGCTATCACTATCTAACAAAAGTCAAAAGCGAAAAAGTTAATTTTCATGTTTTGGCATCTTTTGATTGAGATAGAATAAAATAAAACTGTAAATCAAGGATATACATGTCATATATACTGTTTATTAAACATGGCCAAAGTTACTGAAAAGAAAATCATCATGAGTCCAAACACTCAAGCTTCCAATTGCTTTAAAAGCATTCAGCTTCAGATACTGGCCAGAGTGCCTGAGATAACCATAAGAATATACTCCTCTCTGACGTCATACTGAGTCACTTGTAGAAAAAAAAACCTGTCTGAAACAGAACGTGATGAGGGGCAGCGAATCAGAAAGTTGGATTAAATAAAGAAGGACGGGAGTGAAAATGCCTTGTTTCAAACAGAAGGTGAATTGAGGGGCTATACCGAGGCGCCTTATAAGATCAATGACATGTGAAAAATCCCAAGCTACTCCATTAGTGTCCAAAAATTTAAATATGGAGGAAATGAGCCACTATAATATATGTTTGTCGCAGATTTTAATCAGGATTGGATTTGTTTGTACGTAAGGAGTTATTCTGACAACTGAGCGCTGATTGTCAAGCAGCAACTTTTCTAAATGCTTGAAGTCAGCAAATTGATGTTTTGCATTAGTTTGTCCTCAGGAGTTAGATTTCCATGCACAGCTGTTTAAATCTTTTCAATCTCAGATCACACAGGATGCGTGATCACACCACTGACTGCATTAAGATAGAAGCTGAACACGTCAAAATGTATTTGTTTGTGACATTTCACTCTGCTGACATTCACTGATTTACATTCATGTGGATCAGCTACACACAAGTGTGCAGGGTGTCTCGTTTCTTTCACATTTGTTAATGACTTATTTAAGAGGGAGGGGGCAGGAAATTATTCTATAAACCTGCAGAGGATCACATTAAGCCCAAAAGCCTACATGAATGTTTTTACTTACATACTTTTTAAATTAAATCTTGTGTTTATTTTAGCAACATGCAAGAGAACAGCATTGACCAGCCACCGTCGCTGTCTCAGCTGTTAAGGGAGAGTTACCTGGCAGAAGCCACAGCCCAGCAGCGCCACAGCGAGATGAGCCGCTCAGACGCTTCGTCCTCTCGCATTCAGATCTACGGATCACTCAAAGGCAAGGCAGAGGACACTATTGGCCATGGTGACCCCCAGTTTCCAGACCTTTCAGCCTTTCTCAGCCAGGAGGAACTGGATAAGAGCGTGAACCTGGCTCGCCAGGCCATCGGACACGAGCCTCGTGAGGAGAGGGCAGAGGTCAAAGCCTCTGTCACGCCATCTACCCCGTCCAGAATCTCCTCACCCTCAGTTTCTTCATCCACACCCAGTTCTGTTCCCATCTCTAACCCCTCTAATGCTCCTTCTGCTTCCCCCTCAACTGTGCCCCTCACTCAGCCGGAAACTTTCACATCTGACAGAAAGATGCACAAAGCAACCACACGGCAGGACAATGTGATCAGGAGCAGCAGGGACTTTGGTGAAGGATTCCAAGACTACAACAGGTCAGCAAGAAATGCCCCTTACGGTGTGGAGACCCAGTCCAAGAAGGAGTTCCTCAATAAGGCAGCTGACTTCATTGAGGAGCTGTCCTCTCTGTTCAAGGCCAACAGCTCCAAACGGATACGCCCGAGAGCCTGCAAAGCCCACAGGAGCAGGAACCCAAACAAGAGCCAGAACGATGGGACAACTTATCCCCTCGTCGCTGACAACCGGGAGCGCGCAGTCATGTCCATGGAGGTGGAGAAGGAGACACCCAGCCCTCCCGTTACACACCAACCAGTTGCCCAGCTGGGTTCTGAGACAGGACACGTGGAGTTTCAGGACTGCTCGATTACTGAGGAGCACCAGTGTGACTCTGTGCTCCAGGAGGCGGAGGAAGAGCCTCAAAGCTTTGCCTTAACAGAAACTCCATATCCAGCAGAGCCTGTGTGTGAACCGCCTCGCTTCATCCAGAAACTGAAAAGCAGGGAGGTTTCTGAGGGCACCAAGGTCCGGTTGGACTGCATTGTTAGAGGACTCCCTCTGCCTGAAGTCCGGTAAGATCATTAGTCATCATTAAGTTATTCTTTGTTTTGCAGGACACATTTTTTTCAAACGCAGTGTTTGTAAAAGCTCAAAGTGCTGTTGGATTTCCTCAACAGAAGCATCCCAGTGGACTTTTAGCAGCACACACAAGGGTCTAATTCAGCAGAATGATTTTGTTTGAGTAGTGAGTACATAGCATGAGAGCACAAGGGATACAATGTTACTTTGTACTTCTTCTTCACTACTGTTCAGAAGCAAATATCGAACTTTCTATTCCACTACATTTATTTTGCAGCATCAAGTTAGTGATTTGGTATTTTGAAGTTGAAATTTTTACATAAAAATATATCTTAAGCTTTTACTGCACAATATAATGATTTTTTAAAATGTAACCGTGTTTAAGTATTGCAACAGACATTTATTACAAAGGTAAAAGTTTGGGGGGGTGCCAATACATACATGTATTGGCACCTATGTATGTAACAATAAAATGTCCTGATCAGCATGTATAACTCTGTATTCTTTGCTGATCAAATGCAAAAGATGAATCGGTCTTTTCTGATGTGATTTATATATTTATTTTAAAAGACATATTTTGGTTACCTGTCGTCAGAGCCCGTCTCTCAATTACAAAGTCATTTAGG